GGATAAATCGTAATAATTAATAACTATAGTCTACGATTAAATTTGAATTTGTCAGGTAAGATAAGCGACCTCGGGTGAAATTAACTCTTAAATAATTATATATCAATTTAAATATTCTTAATATATTACAACAATTTCATTCCGTGCATCGCACGGGTGAAAATACTAGTTAATATATAGAGGAATTAGTCTTGGTGTAATCAGAATTATTGATAAATGAGAATATAGATTTTCTTTTGTAGTTTAACTACTAATGTAGTTTACTAAGATGTTTGTAATAATTTTTTATTTTAATACGGTGTATTAAAATTTTATTATTTTAGCTAATTACTCATTTTAAATATCAAATCTTATTGAATTGATAGTATGTTTTTAGAAATCAATAAAATAATAGTATGTTTTTTTAATTGTAATATCGCAATGTTTCCTATAATTAAAAAACAAAACTTTAAAATGAATAAAGGTTACATATCGTATTTACACATGAAACTTATTTACGCTAATAGTTGTTAGGATCATATAATCACTTCAACATAGAAATATTTTAAAAAAATGTTATTCATAATAACTGTTATTCATAATTAACTAATTAATATGTATTATAAAGAATCGTTGATTGAGAATAAAAATATCTTGAAAAGTAGATCATGAAAAGTAGATCAGTTTGAAAAGAAAATGATAATTAATACCTGATTAAAAATGGCACATAATATATTACTTGAAATTAATATATATATATATATATATATATATATATATATATATATATATATATATATATATATGTGTGTGTGTGTGTGTGTGTGTGTGTGTGTGTGTGTGTGTGTGTGTGTGTGTGTGTGTGTGTGTGTGTGTGTGTGTGTGTGTGTGTGTGTTATTAATAATTAACTAATTAATATGTTTTAAAAAAATCATTCACTGAGAATAAAAATGACATGCAAATTAGACCAATTGAAAAACGAAACGATAATTAATATTTTATTAAAAATTGCATGAAATATATAAATTCTAAATATATATTGACAATTATATCAATAATTATAGTATAAATTAATTGATATGTATTACAAAAAATATTAAACTGAGAATAAAAATGACATGGAAATTAGACCAAATGAAAAATGAAATGATTATTAATACTTGATTAAAATATTAAAATGATCCCAAATTGACTCAAATGAAAAAGAAAATGGTCAGACCGTCCAAACAATATTATAAGTAAACTGGAAAAAGAATTTGTTAACTGGAAAAATAATTGACTGAGATTGAAGATAGTACAAAATGTATAAATTATGGTATAATATTTTAAGAAAAAAACGATCCTCATATTAACCATTTCGAAAAGGAAATGAATTATCTATAGTATATATGTAAATTCAAAAAACTATCTGTTATTAAAAATTTACTAGAAATATTATATTATAAAATTATTATTATTAATTAACTAATTAATATGACTGAGAATAAAAAATGGCATGCAAATTAAGACAATTGAAAAAAGAAAAGATAATTAATACTTGATTAAAAATGACACGCAATCTCCATATGTACGGTATCCCCCTTTATTTACTAAGTGGCTTGTAGTCCATTGATATCGGGTTGCTCCCTAAATGGGAGGTGATAGGTTCAAACCTCACACTTAAGGCAAATAGTGTGTATATGTAGGGTATCCCCTTCCTTATAATAAAAAAAATATGGGGATCCTTTTTTTAATTATTAAAATATTATACCATAATTTATGTATTCCGTGCCATTTTAAATCTCAGTCAATTATTTTCCCAATTAACAAATACCTTTTCCAATTTACTATACTATTGTTTGGGCTATCTAGCCATTTTCCTTTCTCATTTGAGTCAATTTGAAATTATTTTTAATTAAGTATTAATAATCATTACATTTTCCAATTGTGCTAATTTCCATGTCATTTATATTCTTAGTCAAATATTGTTTTAATACATATCAATTAGTTTATACTATAAATATTAATATAATTGCCGATATATATTTAGAATTTATATATTCCATCCCATTTTCAATCAAATAGGCTAAAATGTCATCCCGGACCATGAACTATAACTGATTCTTCAAGCTGCACCGAACTTTCATATCATTCAACTAGATCCATTTACTAATTATTTTTTTCCATCTAGAACTCTTCACAGATTACTTACAGGTTACAAGTAATAATATGCTGACATGGAATTTTTTATTTATTTATTTATTTTTTTTTGCGTTCACGTCTTCCTCCCTCACCGTTTCTGGGTAATATGCTAATCTTGGCCTCGGTTTCTATTTCCTCGACTACGCCGTCGATGACATCGGGGATTTCGTCACTGTCCGCGTTGATCCCGACGTTCCTTCTGGACAAGTCTCAATGTCTGATCCTGGAAGCACATATCGCACACGTGACGAGATCTGGAGTGAGACAGGAGCATGATATAATTGAAAGAGTACGTCAGAAAACTCATACTAGCTCATGATATTGCCACTGAAAAGGAGCTAAAGGATATTGAGAAGGAAATTAGAAAAGAAGCAGATGTAACCATTAGCTAAAGCAAAGGAGTTCCAAATGCCAGATCCTTCTGAACTCTTTTCCAATGTTTATGCCAAAGGGTTAGGAACCGAGGCTTTTGGAGCAGACGGGAAGGAACTGAAAGCAACACTCCCTTGATTCTACAAGTGCATCAATTGGCCACTATTTGAAGAGATAAAAGAGGGGTTTGAAGAATAACACCAACACATTAAAACAGTCAGTTTCCACATTCCCTTCCAATCTAGCACAGCCTTCCTGCCCCATTGATTTTTCACAGTTAGGTAGCTCAATTTTTTGATGATCTAAATAATGAATCGTCTGAATACCATTATATGGAGCGGCGCTATCTTGAGTTGCATTCCATCTGAGGATATGCAAGGTATCAGCCGCCAGGCTGATATGCAGCCTGCATATATATGTTTTCTTTCCTGGATGCTCTAATATTTTTCCATTGTTCATATCTTTGGACTTCTTTTTTGCAAAGATGTGAAAGTTGGTTGTGCCAACTTTGTATTTCATCTACTTTTCATTGTCATATCAATGATATCCAGGCCCAGCCCTGGGCAAGGGCAGCCTGCCCTTGCCCAGGGCCCATGCTTGGAAGGGGCCCACAATCCTATCTAAACACCTTTTATATATACTATAGATATTTGATATAATAATAGAGTAGAAATTTGTGTCACTAAATTGAAGATTAGTTGAATTGGAAAAGTCTGGGAGTCTAAGGTTTTTTATGCCCCAGATCAGGGGATCGAATCCTTGTTATATGCCTTTACATCAAAATTTTTCTAATTTTGGGATATTATTATATAGTTATTAAATTTTAACTTATGAAATTTATTTATATTTATAATTTGTATTTCTTAATTTAATTTGTAACTTTGTGATTTTTTTTTTACCTTTCTATAATTATAGTGAGATTTATAATATAGATTGATTTGTGATTCATATCAAATTTTGAATCTATTTCTATTCGAGTAATTTACTACTTATATTTAAAATATGTGTTGTTTTGTGAACATTATAATGAGTTATGTATATGTAATATATTTTGTGATTTAGTTATGAAAAATATTTTAAAAGATAATTTAATTTTTCTATGAATTATCTAGTCAATGTAATTTAGAAGTTCAATTTGTGGAGCGTTATGCCATGGAACCGTGTTCACCATGAATGGTGAACACGGTTCAAACGGTGTTAGCACACCGTTATCTTTTTTTTTTCCTTAATTAATTGCGTTACTTTTCTTCTTCATTTTCACAATTTGCGGTTTCACTTTAATTTGAGGTGAACAATGATTTCGGACATTCATAAATTATGAATTCATGCCTGCACATTCACTTTGGAACCATGCCTACACATTCCCGTCCGAAATCACGGACATTCATAAATTATGAATCCATGCCTGCACATTCACTTTGGAACCATGCCTACACATTCACTTTGGAACCATGAGCTTATGAATTTTCTATTATAAGATTATGAATTTTTTGTTATGAGATTATGAATTTTCTGTTATGCGATTATGAATTTTCTGTTATGCGATTATGAATTTTCTGTTATGCGATTATGAATTTTCTGTTATGCGATTATGAATTTTCTGTTATGAGATTATGAATTTTATGAAAATTCATAATCTCATAACAGAAAATTCATAATTTGATCAACGCGCGCCGTTAACTCCACATCCGCGATTTTATTTTTTATTTTTTTGCCTAAAAACGACGTCGTTTGGCCTTGTGTTCACCATTCACGGTGAACACGTTTCCAGGGCATAATTTGCCCCTATTTGTCCTATTGTGCGTCATCATATTCAAATTAATCTATAGAATTTTGAAATTAATCTAACAAAAAGAAAAAGTATTTATAAATATGATAGCAATATAGAAGATATGTGATTTATTATGTGTTTTTCATTTGAACTATTTTATTCAATTAATTATGTTTCATATATTATTATGAATATTATCTTTTATCACGTTTAAATTATTTTGATTTAATGCTTCCAATAATTAAGATTTTATGCTATGCTCTCATTTGTGAGTTCTGTATGACAAATTTTTATTAAAAATAACTTAATTATTTATTATAATTATAATGTGATTTTCTATAAAAGTTTAGAGTATTTCGATTTATTGCTCTCAATAATTGAGTTTTATTCGTTTTTATAAACTATAATTCTTTATTTATGAAAGCACTGATGCAGTTATTGATTATTTTGGATTTAAGAATGCATCTAGAAATGTTTTCATGTGTATGCATAATTGTTAAAAAACTTGAGAATCTTATTTCAAGTTATTTAATATTGGTATTTTTCTATTATTTAATTTAAAATTTAATTATAAAAACATATATTAATTTAATATAGGGCCCATTTTGTTACTACGCCCCGGGCCTATAAAATGATAGGACCGGGCCTGATGATATCGTAAAGCAATATTTGACGGTAAAAAAAAAACCTTAGTGCAAGGAGACGTCCGTACTACAAGGAGACGGAAGGGAACAACGGGGGTTGCGGGTTCGTCGTCGAGAATTTGAAGATGGGGAGGTTTAGCGACAGGTTGGGGAGTCTATTCACGGGGAAATTTGGTCGGAAGATGGGGATTGAATGAATGAAACTCTCACGGGAAGAAGAAAGAAGTTCAAGGTGCCATATCAACTAGTCAACATTAAAATTAACCACGTCAACAAGAAAGAAGCTCCACATCAGCTGACAACCGGTGACATGTCATCTTGTTACTTGAAAACCTGTGAAAAGTTTTAGATGAAAAAAAATAATTGGTAAGTGGATCGAAATGAATGATATGAAAGTACATGGTGCGGCATGAAGAATCCGTTATAGTTCAGGGTGCAGGATGACACTTTATCCAATCAAATATTAATTATTATTTCCTTTTCTAATTGGATTAATTTTCATTCCATTTTTATTTTCAATCAATAATGATTCTTTTTCATTACATATTAACTAGTTATTTATTAATAACATATTTCTTTATTTCCAATAATATATTCTAATCCATTTTAATTTTAGTAATAATATAATTACATAAATCATATTACATATGGATCTTTTTAAGATAATTACAAACAAACGAGTAATATATTATTCAATTAATTTAATGATACTTTTCTACTAATCTTATAATTAAATAAATGTGCATGTTCAATATTAGATTTTTTTTTATAATTTTATATTCAATTTTATTGTCTAAATATATAATAAAAAAATTTATCTGTGCATCGCACGTGTAATTGGACAATTATTTACTTGAATTCAAGCAAAGATAACATAAGAAAATATAATCGATCTAAACAATTTCATCAATTGCACTATATAATATTCGATGTTATAATTTATATAATTGTATATCGATCTAAATATTATTAAAATATTATAACAAATCCATTCCGTGCAACGCACGGGTGTAAATACTAGTTAGTAATAGCAACACAATCTTGTCCATCTTCGTCTAGAGCTAACACCTTTAGTCCATCAGGATGGGTGACTCGGGTGAAAATATATAATGGTAGAATATCAGTGATCCTTTTATATTTTCAGTCAATTTGTAATATCAGATTCATTTTCAGTCAATTATTCTTTTTTATTTTCACTCAATAAGTCAATTAGACTATTAAGTGCAGTGCATTCAAAAAAAAAAAAAAAAAGACTATTAAGTGCAGTGATATTTTTACCTAATTCCTGTTCCATTTTTAATGGATGATGTATAATATTTTTATTAAAATATTTCCGTTATATTTTTAATTTACCTTTATATTGTTTAAACTTTAAAATATGCATTTACTATTGATGATGTAGAACATTATTATTGAAATATTTCCGTCTAATTTTTAATTTTTGTTCATTTTTTAATTAAAATACAATGATCTTGACAATTTCTTTTTTCATTCTAGTCAATTAGTCAATTACTCAATTAGAAATATTATTGTTACCAATTAAACTTTATTAATTTTTTACTAATTAATTGATATTCATATTAATTTGGGCGGGAATGTTAAAAATGAGGATTTCACTTTTATTAATAGTATAGATAGATTAATTTCATTTTGAAATCATTGGTTCACATATTTGAATTATTTATTTTTTCATTAATTATTCGCATGGTAAACATAAATGATATTGCAATAATTAATTTATGATATTTATCAAATTGTATGTTTTTTAAAATATAAAGTTTTCACATGTTTATGGGTTAAAAAAATTTTAAAATTATTTTTATTTTTAAAATATTTTCCAGCAACACAAACACTCCATTACTCTCCCATAAAAAACTGATAAAGAAAAATCATTTTATTAAGAAAATTAAAATTAATTAAATTAAATCTAATCATGCTATATTTATTTGTAACTGTATATTAATTTCATTTTGAAATCAATAGTTAATTTATAATATTTATCAAATTGTATCTTTTTTTTAAAAAAATATAAAATTTTCTCATGTTTAGGGGTTAAATAATATTTTAAAATTATTTTGAATACATATTATACATTAAGTATATATATATATATATATATATATATATATATATATATATATATATATATATATATATAGACACACCCACAAACACGCACACTTTTAATTCTATATTGATAAGCATAGTCTCTGTATATATCTTCATGGCTACTTTGTTCACTTTAATTGAGTATGCTTCTATAGTGTCCTAGACTATTATTTGAATATTTGTTAGAAATTTTTAGTCATTCTCATTACTTTTCCTTTTTTATTAGTCAGGTCATTTTTTTCTCTTTCATATTTTTCTTTTGTTATTTTTTTGGTTTCAACCGGTTTAATTTGCTTAGGAGCACTTTACAAAATATTTGATTAAAAAATATGATTACTACAAATCAGAGATAGTTCTGTCCGGCTCATAACATCTCATGTTCTAACAAAAAAAAACACATTCTCAAATTAATGAAGTATAATATCTAATACTGAAATTAATGGACAACCATACTAATATATAAAAAGGAAACATTCTCAAATTAATGAAGTTAAGCCCTCTCTCATCAGCAAGTTTTGCTGTGAATTGAAGCTGTCATTTTGCCCATCATTACAGCAAATCAGACCCCAAATTAAGCCTTTCTAACCCCAAAGTTCTCTCATAATTCAAACATTCTAAATCTTACTACTCCAAAGAAAACACATTGTCCATAGTCCTGTACATTCTAACATCCGGAGAGCAAAGAATTGGAAATTCCTTAATTCCACCCACATTAAATTTTCTCCAAACCTGATTTTTCAAGTTACAAACCAAAATCAAAAATTGTTCACTACTATTCATACATAACAGCACAATCTCCCCAGCATGATTCGTAGTATGACGCAGGTATCTGCTAACTCCGTTGATTGTTCTACCATCTTCTAATCGAAAGGTTGTTCTAGTCTCTTCAAATGGAATGGTCATAGTAATCTTCTCCCAGCTTTGCTGAGATTTCTCCCAAGTCCAAACATCCATGTAGAATACGCGGTCTATGCCTATGCCTTCTTGGCGAACAAGAACTATAGCCAGTCGACCTCCATCAACTTGTAGAAATGCAAAATTTCCGTTAAGGAAGTGATATTCTTCCGAAGCTGAAGAAAAAACTACATAATACTGCGATGATGATGAAAGGTCAGCTGGAAATGGTATCAAAGAATAACTCTCAGACCCAACTTCAAATGCTACTATGTGGAAGCTAGGATAGTCAACTTTAGTCAGCCAATTATAGAAATAGATAACGCCGTCTATGTAGACACTAGTATCATAGCAGAAGTTAGAGCAGGCATAGTCATCAAAGGGGTAGAAGGGGTAGGAACAGGGGTAGTTGATCTCCCTCCATGATTTGTCCACTCCTACCGTCAAAACCCAATGCTTATACTCGAAGCGGATGGGCCTGCTGCCTCGATCAATCATACAGGCTGACATCAAAACCTTGTATCTTTTAGATTGTGAATCGAACCCCAAGTGTGCACAGGATAAAGATGGATAGGGGGAGTGGAATTGGATTGTTGGAAGGGAAATACGTTGTCCCGTACTAACGTTGCAAACAACGACGTCTCCATTGGGTCTGGACAGACAAATCAGGCCATCCGAGGATGAGTGTAGACAGCCTTCCAGAAATGGTTCAGCGTCCAAGTAGCCAAGACGGTTGGCTTGGAGCATTCCCGGCCGCTGGGGGTTTTCTTCGCTGAAATTTATGGTGTAATACGAATGGGAGGAACCGGAGGAGAGCGGCTTTGGGCGGATGAGGATGCCCGCTCTATTGGGAAGTGTCAAGGACAAGTTGCGATGCAGAACACCAAAGCCATGATCAGCTATGAGAGCGTAAAAGAGTTTAGAAACGCACCTGAATCGTACTAGCGATTTAGCAGGGAGCTTGGAGAGGATCTCGACGATAATGTCTTTGGGGAGAAGAAGATCCGCCGCTGTCTTCTCCGATGTTGTGCTCATCTTATCCTATGAGCTGATTGAGGGTTTGCCGTCTCAATGTTGTATTCTCCCTCTCCTCCTGATTGCGAATTGCTATGCAACCTAACCAATGTTGGACTCTAAATTTAAGATTTCATAATTAATGAGGGTTTGCCGTCTCAATTTTTCGCTAAGTCATCCTATCTTGCACATGAAGTTTAGCAAGAATCCCAAAAATGGGTTCTTCCGCCAGAAAAAAAAAAAAAAAAATCACCAATAGATCGAATTTTCTTAGGCATTGTTTTCTCAAACCTTTAGTTTTGAATAAACTAAGGGGCTTGCTTTGACCCCTTCCAAAGTTACATATCCGTAGTGTAGATGTACTAATCATATTCATATTTAAAATTTCATATTATATTGACATTTATGTTAATCAGCTTGGTTGGTGTCTAATCATATTCATATTTAAAATTTAATATTATATTGACATTTATGTTAATCAGCTTGGTTGATGTGAGTGGTCGTGCACTCTAAATTGGGCCGGATCGGTGCGAATGAGTCTGAGTATGGTACATGGTACAAACTTAAAGGTAGGTGCCTCCTACGGTTAACACTTGCTTATGAAAGGCAGATTATGTTGTGGAACCGTGTCCACCTCGCAAGGTGAACACAGTTCCAAAACTGTCATAATTGTGAATATAGAGTTCAAAAATTATGAACATAAAGTTCTATAATTATGAATATAGAGTTCTATAATTATGAACATAGAGTCTGTAATTATGAATATAGAGTTCAATAATTGTGAATATGAAGTTTAAAAATTATAAACATAGAGTTCAGTAATGAGAATAGAGTTTTGTAATTGTGAATATGGAGTTCAATAATTGTGAATTTGAAATTTAAAAATAACATTCTCAAATTAAACTAATCAATTAAAGCACTCTCTCATCAGCAAGTTTTGCTGCGAATTGAAGCTGTCATTTTAATTGCCCAATCATTACAGCAAATCAGACCACGGATCCAGCCCTTGTCATCCCCAAATCAAACTTTTCTAAACCCAAAGTTCTATCATAATTCAAACATTCTAAATCTTACTACTTCAAAGAAAACACATTGTCCATAGTCCTGTACATTCTAACATCCCAAGGGCTAAGAATTGGAAATTCCTCAACTCCATCAACATCAAATTGTCTCCAAACCCCACTTTGCAAGTTACAAACCAAAATGAAAAATTGTTCACTGCTCATACATAAAAACACAATCTCCCCAACATAACAACAAAAATTGTTCATACAGCTGGAACGAGGATATTGAGCGAGGCCGGGGCGTCCACTGCTGGAAATTATGGAATTTCCAACCACCTGAAAATGATCTTAAATCAAGTTGAAAGCAAAAAGTGGTCGGAAATAACAACAAACGTTTTTCCGGATAACAAAAGTGGTCGGAACAAGGCTTTCGACTTGATTTAAGATCCTCAGGTGGTTAGAAATTTCATAATTTCCAGCAGTGGTCCAACCGGCGAGGTGGCAGTGAGGTTGGTGGCGGTGAGGTGGCAATTGACCAGCGAGGAGGCAGCGGTGGTGTAGATAGGTATGCCTTACTTCTTACTCTTCTAGTCTATCTGCTACGGCCTGTGGAGGCTTGTTATTTTTGTTCTTCGAGATGAAATCCTTGTCACGGTGATACCTGACTATCCTGAGTTCTATGAACAATGGTCAGATAAGGATACAAGCAATCTTTTGGTGATGGCTTCTGAAGCAGATGATGACATAAGCCCAGCCACCATTGACGAACCAGAGGACGGGAATCGTGCAGGGGCATTTCTCAAATATTTTGCACAGAGGGCTTTGGAATGGGAAGAAATTTCTCGACGACGGGCAGAAGCACATCCTCTGTATCTTCAAGCAGCCCAGGAGGAAGCTCAGTGACGGAGAGAGTCTCTACAAAACAGGTCAAACACATCTGACACTCCTATTGAAATTTCCCCTGATAAGCCTTTTGAGTCTTTATATGTTGATGGTGTTCATGTATACACATCTTCCAGTCTGGCTGAGAGCCTAGATCATATTTGTCACTTTGCGGGGTTACACTCTGCTTCAGTACCTGAGCCCTACAAAATGATACAACCAAGGCATGATCCTCCTATTTCAACAGAAAGTGATGATGAAAAAATTCTGGCTGAAGTCTATGGTTCCAAGGCTCCATCCTTTGATCCGAATGAGACTCTATCAGTGGCAGAGACAGCACACCCAGATTCCACATCCTTCAAAATCAGAGAAGTCACCAAACTTCTAGCATCTTCTACTGTCCACGGGTTTAAGACCAGTAATTCTGTATCCCCGAGTCCTACAAAGAGCTCACATGTCATAGAAAGTCGAAAGTCCAAGAGGAAAGGAGTTCCAGAGAGAGTTGCTGTGGACACTGGTGCTGAGCCTACAGAGTCTACCTAGCCAGAGAAGGGAAGAAGATCGGCTGATACTGAGAAATCTGAAAGTGATCCACCAGTCAGACAAGTTTTTAAGATCCTACGGTCGTCTGTTAGAGGTAAAGCTCCTACAGTTGTTCCTTCAACAAAAAGCAGAAAAATGAAAGTTACCACAAAGCCGAGAGGAATAAGTGTTATGCCTAATGTACAGAATGCTCCTATTGAAGTCCCAGAGAGTCCTAATACTTCTGTTTACAAGCCACAATTCGTTTCTGATGCTGCCAAAGACAAGTGGTCTACAATTGTGAAAAGAGAACTGATTGTGCAAAGGTCGGGTGATGAGAATCAACTGAACTCAATTTGTGATGTATTGCCCCTTCTAGGTGAGGTTGGTCTGCTGAAGACAGTGACATCTGTATGTGCTTATTCGAAGTTGCTAACATATGAATTCTATTGCAACCTAAATGAAGAGATTGACGATCTGACTAGCGAGAGGTGTATGCAAATCTTCATTAGGGGTAAGTGGTATGTGTTTGGGCCTGATATGATCAATCAGTATTATGGGTTGAAGACAGTTGTTGAAGACGAAATTTCTCATTGGGATATGGTTGCTAAGACCCTCACTAGAGAACTGGCATCTGAATGGCCAACTGGTGATAATGATACCTTGTCCAACTCTCAATTAACCTCCAAGTTTATTATCCTCCACCGGATTTCTTTGCACAACTGGCTTCCATCTGCGCATTTTCATACATTCAGTAAGCCTCTAACTGCTCTTCTGTTTCGAGTTGGCACCAAGATGACCGTTAATTTAGGGAAATAGATCTTCTCTCATCTCCTCACATTGATTCATCCCAGGGAGCAGAAGGTAAAGCTTCCTTATCCCAATCTTATCTTTGGTGTGCTAACATCCCAGGGGTTGATTCCGATGCCTAGTGAGATCATTATACTTTCTCTACTCTATACTGTGGATCCACGTCTTCTGACTGGGAAACACATCAAGGATGTTACGCATGTTGATGCTCCGAACACTTCTGAGGCTGATGGTATTGACGATACCCCCTATGGTCGAGATTTGCAGTTGTCCTTGCGATTGATGGCCCGAGTGTCTGAGCTGCAGACTGTGAGTAATATTATCTCAAATCAGCTCAACGTGGCTCACACAGAGCTAGCAACTGTCTTACTCCGAATGGGCATGTCTGAGTCTGCTGCTGGTGAAGCTTTGAAGTCTGACAGTGGAGGTCCCTCTAATTCTTAACGAGTCCTTTGTCTATATTTTGCAAAAAGGGGGAGTTATATACTCAGGGGGAGTATTTGTGGTGGTTGATGTACCTTCTGGCCCTGTCTAGGCTTTTTTTTTTGGGTGAAAAAGTGGTCTGATCTGTGTCTTTATCCAGCACGGGTTGTGTGCTGTGGTTTGTTTTATGGGTTGTTATTCGAACCAATGTTTTTTGTTATAACTGATGCCAGCACTGGCCCCTTTATTATGCTCAACTCTATCTTTAGTTGTTTTTTAATTGAGTTGTTTTGCCAAATAATAGGCAAAGGGGGAGTTTGTTAGTGTATTATTTCTTTGACAAAAACCCCAACATATAATTGGCAGTATTATTATGACAAATTAGGATAGGGTTTAGCTTGGTGTCTGTTTTGTCCCTGAAGATGACTGATTGATCAGTAAAAACAACAAACGCACCTCTGGATCAAGCCACCGAAGATCTGATAAAGGAAAGATTCTAAAAGGTGGAACGCGGTTATGAGATGATAGTTTTGGAAAGAATATCAGCGAATCAGCTTAAGAGGTATGGACCAATCTTAAGATTTCTTTCTTCATAAAAAGTCCTCCCATATACAATCAAAGATATATTTGGAGAGTGTCCAAATCAAAGAAGTACATATATTCTTATTCATATAGAAGTTAGGGTTGCATTTATTGAAGCCGAAACACTCTATACTAAATAGAATATACTTCTTTGGTTGTCATGCCTCTTCTCAAGACAATGAGTGCTTGGTGATTGCGAAGAAGAACTTGAGAAGCATTAACATTGCTTAAACTAAAGGACGCGAAGATCACTCAGTTGTGGGAACAACGTGGGACTATGTCATTGAAGCGGACTGCATCAGAGTTAGCTCTCCAATTGAAAGGATTTCACTGGACTTCTGTATGCGTGGCTCTCCGACTTCAACAATCCACTAAACCTTTGTAGACTGGGTATTGACCTTGTGTGGGGCACTTGGGTGAGATTGTTTTTTTTCTACCTTTGTACATTGGATTATGAGTTAGTGAATTGGACGCATCAGTGATCGCCTATAACAACCCAAAATTTTATTTTATAAATCCAATGTTAAGAAATTCCAAAATAGCCATTTTCACTCCATTATTATTATTATTATTATTATTATTTTTTTTTTTTTTTGCGATCAATTGGTGTTTGAATAAATTATTTTGGACTCATTTTAAATTAATACAACACCAAAACTTATTTTATTCCAAAATCCTAAATTTTCATGTACTTCGCGTACCAAATTTTAAATCGAGAAATCAATCTGAGTGAAACTAGGAGAATTCAAAGAAGCTTTAAATGAGTGTTCATCTAGAAAACTTTTTGAGAAAATTTATTTTCAACCCCAAAGTATTTGAAATTGTATTTCTAGCCCTTGGTCCATGATGCTATGTGAACCACACCATTCCAAGAAATTTTGCCTTAGAACACTTTCTAGCCAAGTTTTTACCACTTTGCCCTCAACAAATCATTGGCCTTTTTACCTAGGGTTTTGCACCCTATATAAACAACACTATCCGTTTGTTATTCCTTGATCTCCATCATTGCCTCTCCCCAAGCTCTTGTCTGATAAAGAAAGAAACATTGCAGTAAGTTTCTTCCATTCATTTTCCATCTTATCTTAAGGTTTCCTCTTCTCTTAGCCTTCAATCTCTGAGGTTTCTTAGTCTTGGCTTGTGTTTGAGATGTTTAGGTGGTGAAGGTGGTGGTGTTTGAGTAGAGAGGAGGTAGAGATCTATACAAGAAGAAGAGGCAACAAGAGGTATAACCCCATGGACTCCCTCTTTGATTTTGGCTCTATGAAGCCTATTTTATTGAGTAGAAATTATGATATTTTGTTGTGTTTATGCTTGGAAGTGGTCTAGTATTTGTCTTTGAAGCGTTGAGAATGTTTTGGACATGCTTGGAATAATTTTTGCAGATGAAAATGTCCATTAGGTAGACAATATTTGATTCATTGAGAAGTTGTAGAGTTGTTGCATGCATGATATTGATTCATGAGAGATATATCTATGTATTATCTATATCGGTGAGGTTTTGGAGGATCCCATTTGGACTATGTCCTCTCGGATGATTTTATGGACATTGCGGTCCCAGTATATGTAACGCGGTGTATTCCCCGGTTACGAGGTTGGAAACTGCCCGCCAGGCTTGGAATCCTGGTTAGGGGGGTGTGCACACTAGTAGTTCGATACATGATTTCACATAGTTTGAGTATAGAACCAAGAGAGTGGTTTGGTGGACGAGCAGAGTATTAGGTCGGCTAGTCGCCGTGCCCAGATAGGTTAATTCACACTTTGATGAAATTCGTCCATTTAAAGAGAAAGTATGAGTCTTGAGACTCTAAAAGAGAAAGAATGAGTCATTGCGACTCTAAGGAAGAAAGATGTGAGTCATTGTGACTCTAAAGAAAGGAAGAAAGAATGTAAGTCATTTATGACTCAATGAGGCCTCCACAAAAAGTATTCTATTTTTACAATGAGTGTTTGAGTATATATATAGTATTGCACGAGATTGCCTATGAGTATGGTATTACATGAGATTGCATATGAGTATATTTATAGTATTGCACGAGATTGCCTATGAGTATGGTATTACATTAGATTGCATATGAGTATTGTTGGTCCCGATAGGGTGGTAAAAGTCTAGGAAGGGGGGGGGGGGGGGGGTGAATAGACTTTTAAACTTTTCCACAATGAATAACTCTTTGGTAATTTCAACTCACTAGTACAAAATAGAGCAAAGAAATATGGTTTTAGGCTACCCTTCTTAAAATAAGGGTAATGTATTATTTTTAAAAAAGGGACGGTGGCATACTCGTAAATAAATGAATAAGAATCCGCTACCCTTTTAATTAAAAGGGTAGCGGCATTTTTTTTTTAAAAAAAGGATAAACTATCCACTACCCTTTCTAAAAGAAAGGGCAGTGCGGAAACGGATCTCGGTACAAAAAAAAAAAAAAAAAAAAAAAAAAAAAAAAAAAAAACCCTTCAAAACCATATCAGATCTCACTCTCACATCTCTCAAGCTAACAGAAGCTGTCGTCCTCACCACACCTCCGCCGTCGACATCTCCGTTCTTCCACAGTTCTCATTCTCCGTCGCCATCTTCGCTGGTCTTCGTACAACAGAGCAAGGTTGCCAGCGTTCTTCGTACAACAGCGCACACAGGACGAAGGTCGCCAACGTCGTCGGTCTTTATACATCAAAGCAAGGTCGCCGGTTGCGAAGGTCGCCGTTTTCTCTTCCTCATGGGTCGCTGGTGCAAGAAGGTATTAGTATATTCAGATCTCTTACCCTTTCATTTATATACATATTATTGTATAGAGAGAGACTGTGGCGATTAGTATATGATTTTGATTGAACAAGTCTGCAAGTTTAGCCATACTCTGTTGTTCTTTGTGGAAGGGAAGATCTATCACAAATTTGATATGAAGCCTCACAATAAAAATAGTGAAAACTATGGAAAACAATGTCGTGAAAGGACAAACAAGTATATGACCAAAAGTAGACAAATATAGGTAAATATTTTTTATGTTCGTGATTTGATATTGATCAATTTTCTATTATATTTTGGAATAGTTTTGACCCTTTGTTCTTTCTTTTATTTATTAAAAGTATTGTCTATTTCCTGAATTCCTCCATTCTTTTGCAGGTTATTGACAATGATAATGGAAAACATTTGAGGCCAATGCCAGGGATTTTTGCTTCAAAGCCTTTTGGATCTGCAGTAATTTGCATCTTACCTCAGTTGAAACTTTTCTTAAATTTATGGGAGAGGTGTACTCAAACTATATGCTTACAGATGCCAACACCATTAATGACTGTTAAAAAGTCAAATTTTTTGGGTGTTTGTTACTCCTAATGGAATGCATTTCTTTCTTTTGATTTTTCTCTTCATGATTTACTAAAGTGTTTCTGATTTGATGTATGAAAAAGAGTGTTAAAAGTCAATTTTTCTTTCAATTTATTTGATGGATAAGACGAAATTCTTTATAGACCACAAATATTCAGTTTTCTTTTTTGGGTGTTTTGTTGCCTAATGTAAATTAATTGCAGTTGAGGGAGTCCCTGGGAGAATAAAGCAAAAGAAAAAGGGGTTTTTTGTGCACAACTACTGGCTAATGCACAAGCTGCAGCAGCTGACAGAAACAAGGTTGGCTATAATTTCACTTCTCAATAGTGTTAAATGCTTATTGTGTGGTTATATGTATTTAAATTATGCATTTTTAAGGACTTGTATTTAATGGTTTGGTTAATCTTGATGAATGAGATATGCTGCTTTTCTTGTTTTGTGTACTATTTTTATTTTAAATAAATAATTTTAATGCATATTTACAGATTTGGCAAGTGATCTTAATATTTGAGATCTTTTTAGTTTCTGTGGTATTTAAGAAGTGTGATTAAGTTGCTTAAGAGTTAACTTATATTTTCTTTTCTTTTCATTTTTGAAAATGGTACATGTCAGGGGTGGAGCTATCCTGTTTCTGGGAACAAAGCGCCACCATGATGAGTGGTTGAGGGATACTGAAAATTATGCAGTGAAAGGTTGTTTTTCAATGTCAGAGTTCTGGCAGTAATGTCTGTGAAAGTGGTTTATATAGTTTAGTTCTGTCAAATGAAATGAATGCAAATCATCATCCAGGAATGTTAATAGGATAGGATGTTTGCTCTATGATTTCCCAGGTCTGAGGTATTGAAACAGTCACAACATATAACTCGAGCACAAGAGAGTTTGTTATAAACACTCCATGTGAATCAGCTCAGAAGTACTGGATAAGAGGGGCAGCTAATGTATGTTATATGACTCAATCTTATGTATATATGTTTAGTGTTTCTGAATTCAATGGCAGATGTTTCTCTTGATGGCAAGTATCTGACTGCAATTAAGGATCCTGACAGGGTAACCTCAATTAACCTTTAGTACCAATGCTAAACTGTGTCTGTCTGTCTTGTTGTGATCTTCTAGTTCCTTGGCATTGTTTAATGGTTTATGTTTCAGAGATTCGGGAGCATTCATGGCGCCTTTGACAACAGGGCGTGTAACCATACCATCCATTGTAACTTACTCAGCAAAAGTAAAACACCCTCTTCTCTGATTTAGTATTTCTGAAAGACTGATTAAATTAGAACTGTTCTGTAATAACACTTGGATATTCATCAGGTGGGCTTAGCAATTGCCATAAGATACTCATTGACAAGGAGAGCATTTTCAGTCACACCAAATGGACCTGAAGCTTTATTGCTTGATTACCCCAGCCATCAAAGACGACTACTCCCTCTTCTTGCAAAGATGTAAGTAGCTGTGTCTGCATTTCTCCTCATTGCCCTTTCCTTTCTGCTTGTGTCACGTTTTATGTCACAATTTTGGTTCTATACTTGGTTAACCGAGGTTGTTAATAACTAACTAAGCCCTCGACCTACCATTGTTTTTATTATGACTTTTTCCTTATCTTCTAACTGAAAATTGCTTATCAACACTGTTCTTTTGCTGCAGATATGCCATGAGCTTTGCTACTAACTTCTTGAAAAGGATGTATGTGAAGAGGAAACCTGAAACGATCAAAACCTTACATGTTGTTTCAAGTGCCTTTAAGGCTACCTTAAGCTGGCATAATATGCGAACACTTCAGGTAGTAGCAGACATCACAGTTGTGATCAAAATGTCTTGTGGAGTCATTTTTAACTTTTATTTTAGATTAAATATTATCTTGTGTTTATAATTTATTTATTATTGTGATGAAAGTATTGAGATTGATTGATATAAAATATTGTATCGATAGTATTGAATTGTATCGATAGTATTGTATTGAAAGTGCATTGATAATATTGTGTTCATAATATTGTATTGATATGTTGTTTATGAATTATTTACAAGATTTTTTTGTAAAATTGGGAATTTTAAAAATAATAAATGAATTTTTTTTTTTTGTAAAAAAGTAAACCATCCGCTACCCTTTCTTCCCAGAAAAGGTAGTGGAAGATTAAGAAAAAATAATAATAATAATAATAATAATAATAATAATAATAATAATAATAATAATAATAATAATAATAATAATAATATGCCCTACCCTTCTACAGTTAGAAGGGTAGCGGATACTCAACTTTCCGCTACCCTTGTAAAAGGGTAGCGGAAAGCTCAGGGCTTTCTGCGACCCTAACATATGCTACTCTTGTACAAGGGTAGCGGATAGTCATTTACAAGGGTAGCGGATGTGTATTTCTGTACTAGTGACTCTAAGTAACAAGTAAATAGAGAAGTAATTAAAGTAAAATGCACAGTGGAATAAATAGGTGTAAAGAGTTATGCCCTAACAGTAATTTAAATCACATGCACGTGTGGAATTAATGCTCAGATGAGGTATAACGATGACATGAATATCTTGAATATTTAAAGGAGATGGTTCACTCAATATTCAACAGTAATATTCAAGATTATAGATAAGATTTCGTGTCACTTCGACCGTATGATAAATGTTACATGCAACACGTCATACTTGCTTAGAATGATTCAAATGTTAAGCATGGAAAGTTTGAGTTACATGCATACGGGAAAACATGCTAAACCCGAAAGATTAAGATGAATAGTGAATAGTAAACGGGTTAGTCGGATAATATAGATAGATAGAGCGAATTATGTAAGTGCGGTATGTAAATGAGAGAGGCTTTTTTATAGTGGTTCGGAAGTGGGGTAATCTTCCTAGTCCACTTTACTCCATTCACTTCTAGGAGTAATTCACTATTTTCCACACACAGTTACAATAGTGAATAAGCGCTACACAAGCACTTCTTCCGGATGTCTTGCACACAGCTACACCTAACTCCGAGTGTGTCGCACACAGCTACACTCAACTACGAGTATTTCGCACACAGCTATACTCAACGCCAACCAAGTGTTTTGCACAAAGCTACACTTAGCAGTCATGAGTGTTTTGCACACAGCTATACTCTTCTAACAATTACAAATACAAAGGTAATTGTATCTCTCTCCAACTATTTTTGAGACTATTCAGACTAAGTCTCTAATGAATATTTGAGCACTTGCAGTTTTCGAATTTTGCACTTCATTTTTTGTATTCACCTCTATACTTTCTTCAAGTCTTCATGACCCTTTTATAGGTAACCAAATATATCCGTTGGAGTGGGATAATTTGATATTTGAAATTTGAATCTTCATAGCCTGATATTGTTGACAACAGTAGATCTTCAATTTTGATTTGATTGTCAACTTGCCTGACAAAATAATATTTTATCTCAACTTGATTTTCAAGTTGTTTCTTAAAATATTATTTTTGTTGTCAATTTGAATTTCCAACGAATCTTTGAAATAAATTCTTCTGATAGAATTTATTTCTAGGATAAGTTTTTATATTCATGTCTTCATAAATATTTCTCCCGTTTCAGGCAACTTTTGGACTCTTGTGGCATGTGGGTAGATTCAAAATAAATTCTTTCGAATTTATCCATTTTCTGATCATCTTGCTTCTTTGCCACATTGTGCTCCTTTGACTTAGGCATTTCTTGCTTGTTTGACTTGAACATTGTGCTTTTCTGATTTGGTCACATTGTGCTCCTTTGGACACATCGTGCTTGTTCACATTGTGCTTCTTTTGAACATTTGTGCTCCTTTAGGCATATCGTGCTCCTTTCAGACATTGTGCACTTATGGAACATTGTGCTCCTTGGGCACATCTTGCTTGTACACATCGTGCTTCCTAAGAACATTGTGCTTGTCCAAATTCTTGACTTGTAAAAAATAAGTCCTTAAGGGGAATCGATCTCGGGTATAATCGTTTTTTATAAGGACTTCTACCATTTCACCATTAGGCTCATCCGATCATTTTTTGTAACGCCATTCCTTTATGCTTTTTTCCCGGATGAATACTTGTAGGACCAAAACTAATTTCCCAAATTAATTTTGTTCTTCATATGGTAGATTTCCTTTGACTCTGATTTATGATGCTTGTACTAAAAGACCTAAAATCTAAGGGGATCTAAAGTACATTTGGCTCATCAAAACTTACAAAAATATTCCTATCAAGTATGTTTATAGTATTGCACGATATTGCATATGAGTATAGTATTGCACGAGATTGCATATGAGTATGTTTATAGTATTGCACGAGATTGCATATGAGTATAGTATTGCACGAGATTGGATATGAGTATGTTTATAGCATTGCACGAGATTGCATATGAGTATAGTATTGCACGAGATTGCATAGTGAGAATGTTGATTTAAGATTTTATATCGAGCATGATTGTTTAGTTACATTTGAAGCCTTGTATATCCAGTTTATGTGATGAGAACTTGAGAGCATGGGAATACCTGTTGTACGGTTTATTAGTATGATACTGCTTGTAAGCATGAGTTGCTTGTTAAGTTGTTGTGACGTTTACATGTTGACGTATCTAAGTTGTTAAGTCTTATGTATCGAAGCATGCCTGTTGATATTATAGGCTGCAAGCATTTAGAAAGTATGTGATATGACTAAAGCTGTCTATGAGATGAGTTTGTTCTATACGAATGTTATCAAACGTTTTCCGAAGTATATTCTATAGTACTTTACAGGGTTGAGTGTGGTTATACTTAGCTTCGTGCTAACGGGTGTTTTCCTATTTTTCTATGTGTGGCTTGTAAAACCCCTTTCAGGTGGGCCCAACAGTGAGAAGTGATCGAGTTAAACTAGTTTTGTAGTTTGAGTTGTCTAAACTCTTTATGTCTTGTTTATGACTTTATCTATCAGATGTTAGACTTATGATGTTTTGTGGTTTTTCGATGATGTAGACTTTGGGTGTATTTATTCCCCCATTATGCTTTATTTAAGTTGATGGATGATTAGTTATTTATTGATTTTCTAGTTCTACCCTTAGCTTGTGCAATCACTACGGAGTGGTGGTTGGCACCTGATGAGGCTAGTAGGGCTCGCAAGTTTATCCGAGGGTTGCACTATGATGCTAAGAAGTCTTTCTCTGCGGCGAGATTTGCTACTTTGACTGAAGCCTACGATGCAGCTGCTGGTTACTCTAAGCTTCAACAGTTGCACCGAGATTCCATGCAGGGATTGAAGAAAAAGAATGAGAGTGTGGATTCACAGTCGAACAAGGGGCACAGGTTCAATCCGACGAGTAGGTTTGATAACCGAGGCGGGGAAAGGAGGAATATGACGATGAGATAGGGAGTTGGAGCTAGAGGACCACCTAGTGAGAGGGGTACGGTGTGCCCGAGATGTGGCAAGGACCATCCTACGACCACTTGTGGAGGATTGCCTGTGGTTTGCTTCCAGTGTGGTAAGCCAGGCCATATAGCTGCTACTTGTCGTCAACCGAGGACGGAGGGATCCCATGGTACGATCCCGAGCCAGCCGCCTAGAGGTCCGATCAATCAGGTGCCGAATCAAGCTATGGGACGTGGTTACTCACCGAGAGGAGGTCCGCACAGGAATTGGAATCATGGACGAGGTGGAGCGCAGCAAGGACTTACCGGAGGAGCTGGAACAGGGAGGATCATGTTCATGGGACAGACGGAGGCTGGAGGCCGCAATCTTGAGAAAGGTAACACTCTAATTTGGAATGAGTGTGTTGATTCTTGCATGAATGCTTAATTGAATGTGTATGGTTGAGGAAATTGTTGCAAGTTGTTGAAAGATGTGCTAGTCTAAAATTTTGGGAATTAAAAGTTAATTAGGATTGCTTTAGAGAAAGTATCGGCTTGAATGTTATGAATTACCGAACAAGGGATTAGAAGAATGAATATAAGTGTAAGAAAGATAAAATCTTTAGGGAGCGGTTAAAGTTTAATTAAGAGAGTTGTTTACCGAAATAGAAGTGAAAACGAGAAAAACAAAGAAACGACGAGAAAAGACTTGGATAAGGGTTTAACTTAAAGTTTGAATTGGGACAAGCAATTCCCGGGAGGAATTTGAAAGTCAAAGGATTGACTAAGAAATCGGGATTTTTTTTTAAAGTCAAGACCCGATTTGAAGATTTGACAAAGTCGGAGGACCGATTGCAATTGAAGCCAAACCGGGTTAGACCCGATTGCCCGACCCAATGGCGGATCTAGGCCATGGGCCGGAACGGATCCCGTTCTGTTGCACGGGACGTGGTCACGGACCACGTAATGGTCCGTGACCTGAGGCCGTGTCAGCCTCGCTGACACCGGGTTTTGGTGCGGACCATCAGGAGGGCTGTAACACCCCGTGTTACGATCCCTAAAATCAATTAAATCATTTAATCAATAACCCAAAAGAAAGAATTAAATTACAGAAATTAATTAGGATGAAGGCCCACCATAGTCCGTGGGCCCTCATCTCTAAACCCAATCCTTAGTCCTAAAAGGAATAGAGTTAGCAAACCTATAGTAATTAGGCCCTAAGTAAGACTCTTAAATATATAAATAGGGAACATATGGAGGCACCTAGAACTCCCACCACAATAATCTCTCACCACACCAAGAATTCCAAGAATTCCCCTAGGAGAAATCAAGAAAGAAGAAAGCTTAAAGAAAGACCCTTCATAGCCAAGGAATTAATTAAGGCTAAGAGGTAACCCATGTCTCAACAAAACCTATTTTCATAGCTATGATTCTCCTCTTAGGATTTCCCCCATATTTTTGTGTATTGATGGTTCATTATAATCTTGATAATTGGTGTTATGATTCCATGGGTGATCTTGATGATAAGAGGTTCTTGATGATTATATGGTGTTCTTGATGTTCTTGGTGATTACATGATGTTCTTGATGTTTATATGATATTCCTACCGAATCTCGATTTTAGAAGATGAATTGTGTTCCTGTTGATTTAAAAATAATTAGAACCCTAGGTTATATTGTGGAATTCGTATGGTATTATTCTTGGGATATTGGGTGGGAATTTGCATGTTTGGGTGTTGATTGTGTCTAGAAAAGCATGATAGGTTATGTGTCGTATGTTTCTTGCGTTTGGATCCGTTAATTGTCTACGTGTTGTTGTCAATTGCGTTTGAAAGTGTCTGAGTATGGTTTCGGGTTCTACAAAGGTTCCCGAGACGTTTTTGTGATAAAAGAGTCAGTGGGGGGTAGGTGGGGGTAGGGGACCCGCGGCCATTGTTGACGTCGCCGGCAGCGGGCAGCTTCTCGCCGGGCGCCCGCTGCCCAGAATCATCGTCGCCGGCGGGCAGCCGGCGGGTGAACTCTCACCTACCGGCTACCTGCTGGAAAAATACCCAATTTGGGATTTTGGCTTCCCCGTTTGATGTTCCCCCGACCCCCGTGGTGTCCTAACGGACCCCTGCCATCGTGCCTATGCCTAGTTTGATGTTCGGATACCGTTCGTAGGTTAAAAGAGTCTCGTACATGCTAGTTGGATTGGTATTCCGTTGGCCTAGGTGTAAGAAGTATGAACCCCTTAGGACTATTCCTAGTTGTGGATGACCACGCATAGGTTTCGTTATACGATCACTCCCCCTTCCCAGTGTGCTAATATGGGCTGCTTGTACTTGCTATGTGTTACGTGCGCATGTTACCCCAATTTGGTTGCGATCAAATTAGTTATACGGGCAGTTGGATGGGTTGAGAACCATACTAACTGTTAACCAGGCCGGTTAAGATCGGTCAGGTATATAAATATTATATAGGGCTGCGGTCCACTATACGGGCAGTTGAATGGGTTGAGAACCATCCCAACTGTTAACTAGGCCGGTTAAGATCGGTCAGGTATACAAATATTATATAGGGCTGCGGTCCACTATACGGGCAGTTGAATGGGTTGAGAACCATCCCAACTGTTAACCAGGCCGGTTAAGATCGGTCAGGTATATAAATATTATATAGGGTTGCGGTCCACCGTTCTATATGAGCTGCGGTTCATTTCCTGACTGCGGTCAGATGACATACTCTTGGGCTGCGGTCCACTGTTTGGTTGCGATCAAACTATGATGAGCTGCGGTTCATCGGTCGGTTGCGATCGACCCCTCCGTAGTGTGAGACAGGGCAGGGTGCTGCGGGGCCGTGTCAGAGCTATATGCGCTGACCCTCATGTATGGGCATGCGATTGGTCCTGTGGCGCCAACAAAGTGTTTTTATGTGACGAGATATGGATGAGTTGTGATTACGAGTGTCTTGGGGATGTGACTACGGGATTTACGTTGGGGATTGTTTATGTTGGGTTATGATTATTGATTATGCTCAGCCTTATCTACCTTGCCTGTCGTGAACTATATATGCTTGCTATAACTGCTGTTTGTGCTTACTCTATGTGTCGAGTCTATCCCTGTCTTAAAAGCTAGAGTTCGTAGGGTATATCTTCATGTTCAAAATGGTTTTTGTATATCTATATATAGATCTCTATATGTATTATATTTCAACGCGTTGGAGTGGGTTACCAGCATCTCTCGCTGAACAGATATATTTGGCTTTCAGGCGCAGAAGTATAGGCACGGGAGCGTGCTAAAACCTCGGAGCATAGAAGTAGATAGTTTCCTTTTTGGCTTGCGCGCCATATTATGCACTCTCTTTATTAAGAATGTTAGCTAGTTAGCCTGTGCACCTGAGTTCTCCAGCTCAGGTGTGGCATAGCACCCCGTACTCTTTGTATTGTGTTTTGGGATTCAATAAGATTCTACCTTTATTATACGAGCTTCAAAAGTTTAAAAAAATTTCGGGGTGTTACAAGGGCCGCTGCCAAGCCCCATCACCCTAAACCTCGATCATTTTTTTTCCCAAAAACAAAGTGTTGAATTCATCTCCTTCTTCTTCGTTGCTCACTGCCTCAACCCCAACAAAAAACCTATGTCCTTCAAATCTCCATATTTCATCAAGGGAACTTCAAGAGTGTCTTCCACAAGCTATTCTGAGTGCAAGAAAAAAAATACTAGTTGGGTCATCCACTTCAATTTTAACAAGATCAAGTCAACAAGCTTTGGACCACAATGGTGAAAGGAAAACAACAAGTAGAGGGAACCAGTCAAGAAGCACCTACCTATTCAGTAATATGAGGTAAAACTTATTTCTCTGAATTCTTTTCTGAAGATTTTAATAGTATATTGGAGAATCGAGGTTTGTTGAGGAAATTTTTGAGAATCCAATAAGAAATTTATCCCGATTTGGTAATTGAATTTTATGAGAATTTGTCCATGAAACATAAGAAGGGAATGACTACGATTACCTCTAATGTGAGAGGTACAAAAGTCGAATTGACACCCCATAAATTGTCAAATTGGTTTGACCTACCGTTAGATGGATTGGATATGTACGACCGGGATGATTGGGTTGCCCACGAAGGGTTGACACACCATAAATATTTGAGATACATGACTAGAAGTAGGGACGAATTCCCTAAGGAATACCGCCCTGAGAGACCCACGTTGACTGGAGAGAAGAAGTTGTTGGTGCTATTGATAGAGGAGTTCTTGTTCCCATGTAGGAACAACTCCATTGAGATTGGTAGTTGGACGTGTACCATTGCCTTCATTTTGAGATTTGGTCGTGCAATTAATTTTCCAGTCTTGATCCTTAAGCACATGTCTTACTTTAAAGCAAAGAACAGGAAAAATTTGCCCTATGGTATGATGTTAAGTTGGGTTTTCAAAAAGATGAATTTGCGCGAGTTGGGAGAAAGGATACAAAGGACCACTAGGTCGGCTTTGAATGCCGCCAATCTGAGATATTATGAGCTGTACCAGATCACTGATAACAAGTATCTGACCCTAGCTGACATTGCTAAGAAGCCCTTGGACGAGAGAATTACTCTTGTGGCTAGTTTTAATATGCCACAAAGAAAGTGGCAGAATGTTGGGATTGAAGCTGGGCACATAGCTGAGGCAAGTGGCGAAGGGAATGCGATGGGAGCCGATCAAGGAGTTGGGGTTAGTCATGAGGGAGCACCAGTTGCAGCTACCCCGTCGGGAGCACAACAAGGTTATATGAGTGGGCCTCAAGGACCCACTTATGAAGACCTATATGCCATGATAAAAAACCGTTTTGACAATCTGAATGCTCAAGTGAACTATGGATTTTCCAACTTTGATCAAAGGGCAGCAGTGATGGAACAAAGAATGGGAATTGAGAATGTGCAAAGATGAACTCCCTATGGATGGGATCCGAACTACATGCCGCCAGGTGGTTCATCGGGAGGCTTTGATCAAGGTAACTTGTTAAGCTTTTGAGTTCGGTTAATAGAGTGGTTATGTGTTCAATT